TGCAGTCTTCATTGTTTATGGTGTAATTGAGTTGGAGATTGTTGATTTCACGCTGATCTGGTAGTTTATATGTCGTCGACTATTTGGTAATAGTTCTTGATGTGTTTGCTGTGTTTATATACAGTTTAGTTGAGAGAGAGAGAAGGCTTTTTTGTCTCTTTTTTTTATTAGATTTGTGCAGCCTACTCGTTGGTTCGTTAGCTGGCACCTACACATTGTCCTATTTTTCGCTACTAGATTTGTACAGAAAGGAAAAAATAGTAATGATGACTCTATTGATAGATGACTGCTCAGGTGTCGTTGATGAGGGGTCTTGATGCTTAATATTAGGCATCCTTTTATTTCGTAATAAAATTTTAGAAGAGTTGCTTCTACATTGAAAGAATGGAATATCATCTTTATGAATTTTGATTTTTCGGTAATTTTCTTTGTTCTCTTCTTCAATCGCAAAAATGCAAAAACAAAAAGAAAAGAAAAAGAAATGGTATACATCTCTTTTTTTTATCACTACCACATAGATATCTGTCGATGGTATGTCAAATAGGTGCTTCTCTCTCTTGTTCGTGATAGTTTATCGTTGAAAAGGGAAGGGAGAGAGAGAGATAGAGAGAGAGAAGATTATTTTGATTACATTGATTATTAGTCGAGTCGCATAGGAATGGGCTCGAACAAACAGCTATGATTAGTATTGATGATTAATAGTGAATAAAGAGAAAAAGTGAGAGAGCATCTCTAAATTTAACATGTGGGTAATGTTGGTAATCCTTCTGATACGTAGTTTCTTAGAATGCATTAGCCATCAGCATCAAAGAGCAAGACGTAAATAGTGAGAGTTAAAAAGAAGAAAGCACAACTAACAATATATTAAGATGTTGATGATCAAGAATCGAAGATCTATCAATGCTATGTGCATTAGCTTTCATTCAATGCTGTCAAAATTCACGGCAATCGATTGAGAAAGAAAGAAGAGAAAAAAATGAATAGACAAAGGATAACATAGGCTTGAATGTTTTAAATGAAAATAATAGTCAGTATAAAGCATAAATTTTCATCTTCTACAATGGTCAAACTATATTTCATTATAGATAAAATAAGAAAGTGGTCAGTTTCTTTTTTTACAAATTCATATCAATGGTGATACGGCTGGCTATAGTTCAGGTTTAGAAGTCGAGTGAAAAACGTTGAAAACAAACTCTATATTATTTTTTCTGCGAAAAATACTTATAGTAGAAGAAAATTTGATTAGATGACTCCAATGATGAGATTTAATAGCTGCATTATTTTATTTGTTGAATTTCTATACGACGACAAATCGAATGAACTGACTTGCCTCTGCTTTTTGGTCAAATAGAAACATTCAAATAAAAACAAACAAATTTCATTTTTATTTTGATTCTTCGAAGACATTTATGATTTATTTTCTCTATTACTATAATATATGAGCTTGATTGAATTTATGTAAAAGTTACGATTTTAGTCAAACATTCAAGAGCATAGCAATGTTTTATAGTTTATTATTATGTCTTTTTTTATTGAACAAAATTTCGACATTGTACAAAATGAAGCAGTTATTATCGATGAAAAGCAACGCATGTACATATCGATTCAGTCTCTATGCACACATGTAGGTAACAAGAGAACGAAAAGAAAAGACAAAAGAAAGAGAAATCAAAAGCATTCCTCTTTCTCACAATTATAGACAATGAACAATAAAAAAAAAAAGAAAAGCTATTATGATGATAGGTAGCAAGCAAAATAAGAATCTTATTAATTCGAACAATGGCATGATTTGCATAGCAAGTATTGTGATAAAAAAAAAGAATAATAAATAACTGACACATGTGCAAATTTTGTCCAATTTTAATGAGAGAGAGAGGGAAAAAGACACAATGAAAACTCATTATACAATAAGAGTTAAACTTTTTGAAACTTTCATAAATTGTTCTATCTACTTAGTACTAAAAAAAACTACAAAGTTTGATACTGATTACTTCTACTATGACAAAGAAACTATAACAACATTATCATGTGTTATTTTATCGTTTATTATACAGCTATATCATGATGTAAATGTATTACAATACGTAACTAAATGGATTAAATAAAAAAAGAGAATGAAATATGAAAGCATATAAAATAAAATAAATATATATGATATTTTTCTGCTTTTTTCCTTGTAATATTATTATCATCGGATAGATATTGAATAAATAAATATAATAATAAATAATTTAACTATTTCATTATTCATACCAAATCAATAAAGGCAAAAGAAAAGGAATTTTTCTGTTTGTCATTCATATGTAAGCTTATATTTAAAAACAACTTAAAGCAATAGTATCAATTAAAAAAGATTAAACAGAATAAGCAAAACTGAAGAAAGAAATATGGCAAATGATAGATGTTGCTAAAATAGAACATGAAAATGAAAAAAAGGAGACATGTATGAATTACAGAGATTAAGTGAAGAAGCAATTGGACTTATTATCAGATAGAATGTGTATTATTTTATTATTGACAAAAAAGTCGATCATATTGTTGGGTTGTTTATTTATCACAAACGTACAAAATCTTCGCAATTGGATCTAAATAGAAATAGAAAAATGAATGAAATTATTCAAAAAAAAAACTTTTAGTTAGTTAGATACAAACTGTTCATTATTATCAATAATAATTTTACTTGTTAATTCGTCAACTTCTTCTGTAAGTTATTCATTCGATGACATCATAGAATGTTTCAGTTCAGTACCACTAGCATAACCAATACCATATCTATCAAATATATGACATGTTTCCTGTATATTATCTTCTATTTCTTTATTATTTGTTTTTAAGATTTTTTATTACTTTGACAACTATATCAAAATCAATTGTATGACTTATTTATTGTTGAATTTCTTCGAAATCAGTTTCTCATGGTGATAAAACGCATGAACGAAGAATAATAGTTAAAATTGATACAGAATATTTTGATTGTTTTTTCAAAATAAAACGAATATTTTGATATCAAATTTTTACGTTAAAATCATATATTCCCTAGACTGAAAGGATAGGGTCTAGAAACCGAAATTCACCTGTGTCTGTCTGTCTGTAACACTTGGTACAAAGTACCATGGTCGTGGTACACAGTACCATGGTCGTGGTACACAGTACCGTAGTCGTGGCACAAATGACCATTTTGGTGGTACAAGTGACCATTTTTCATGGTACAAGTAACCGAAATCTTCATACAAGTCACCCGATTAGTGATAGAAGTGACCACATGAGTGCTATAAACTGAGTATATTGGTGATACAAGTGAACAAAATCATGGTACAAATGATCATATGGGTTGTAAAAGTCAGCAAAATCTTGGTACGAACAACCACAATATCAATACAAAAGAAGACTGATACACATAGTGATTATGTAAATTAACAAGGTCGTTGTACATCCCATCAAATAAAATAAGTCAAAGTATCATATACGAACACTGAAATAATCAAGGGCCAAGTATCTACAATTCTAAAAAGATGAAAGATAATGTTAAACGTCAAACTTAGTAAATGCTGTTAAGAATGGAAAACCAATGGAAAACAAGAGTAAGAAAATGGAATTGAGAAACGTTTTTATTCAATGATTAAGTTTAATAAAATTAATTCTTGTGCTGTATAGATTATTATACAATTGTTTTATGAATCAAAAATCGTTTCATATGTGATGAAGGTATTAGCAAAAGTCAAAATCTGACTTTGGCATTGTCTGAAGAAGCTTTTGCAATGTGATTTTGCTTTGAACACAAATAGCGCCAATATAAGCTATGTGAAAGAAAAACTGTTTTATTTGTTATTATTGTTTGTGAAATATGAATAATGATAAAAATAAGACACAATCATTTCGTCATGGCAGTATATTCGGCAATATAGAAGAAATATTTGTTCCATTGGAATCTATGAGAAGTAAGTAGGAAAATTTCAGAAAAAATTATGAGTGAATTGGTAAACTTGACTTTTTCAATTCAAGTAAAAAGAAACTCTATTTTTTTTCTGTGATGGGCCATATAGTAGATACTCAAGAATAGTTTGTTATAATAACTATAACTGCTTTTTATAATATGTGATCTGAACTTAAGACTACTACCAATGAGGAGATAGGGTATTGAGCATTTGTAAAGAGAAGAGATTTAGTGTTATTTTTTTTTTATTCATGAAACATCATTAGATCCTTAGAAATAAGACAGCCTGTTTTATACGAGTAGACGCTAAATATATATATGAGTCTTAAAAAACATTGTTAAACAATCTGGAAAAGTCAGCAATGATTTCATTTCTAATCGATACTTTTTGATCTAGTTAGTTAGGTACTAAAAGTATCAACATATTGAATCACAAATTCCATTTAGAATGACCTTGATGGAACTCGTGAGATTAAGCTTTTTTCTAAAGAGTAACCCCGCCCCACAACAGACGATTTCACTATAGAAAAAGTTCACCATCTCTAATAGAAGAGTCCCTTTTAGTTAGTTATTTTTTTGGTAAGTGGGAGCTTTCATTTATGTATTTAAGTCAAAATATGCGTAGGTTTCATAATTTTGAGTCGAAAGTCTTGAAAGAGTGTGTTCAAAATCAAGTCTGATCTCTTAAAATGGTAAAAATTGCCTCGATTTTCTAGAAACATTTTTCACTTAAATATAGTGAAAATATATAGGTCATAATTCAAGATCCTTTATAAAAAGTTTACGTCTCGACATAATATAATACCCAGGGTATTATATTGCTGAGGGAATTCGCCTTAAATTTTTAACATGTTCAATATAAAATTTAACTACAGCGAATTATCATTGATACTTTGCAAGTATATTTTATCGGCTACGCAAAAACAAAAGAAAATAAATGTATTCATCATTTGAAAAAATAGTGATCAGATACATGTTCGTTTGTTATTAATTAATAATATATCTCAATTTATTTAATAGATGAGCAAAACAATCCGAATGAAGCGAGTATCATGAAATATTTGGAATGAATTCATTTTCCAAGACAAAACAGTTTGACAACGCAATCCATTGTCTGTCACGCGAATCATCTTCAGAAACACATAATAATCGAGTTGCTGCTTGGCGTACACGTCGAAACGAAAATGAGAATGAAATAGAACGGAAGATACGATTACATAGAGAACGTGATGCAAAATCTACCGAAAAAAAAAATAAAAACCAATTAGAGTCTATTACAGAACATGATACTCGTTTAAAAAATGAAGCATCTGCTAAAAAGAATGAACGAGAAAATCGAAAAATGAATGACACAATAGAAAATCGTATGCAACAACTCAATCGGAAAGCAAAACGAAAGAGCGAATTAAGACGTGCTCAAAGTTTGGAAGAAACAGACGAAGAAATTAAGAAAAGATTGGAAAGCGAAGCCATTAGTCAAAGAACTCGACGACAAATTCGAAATTTAGAAGAAACAGAAGAAGAGAATAACAGAAGATTGGAAAACGAAGCAATTAGCCAAAGAATTCGACGACAAATTCGAATGTTACAAGAAACAAAATACGAGTACAGTAACAGGCTAAACAAGGAAGCATTTATTGTAGCAAACCGACGACGTAATCGAGATCTGCAAGAAAGTACAGAAATTCGATTAACAAGACTAGCAACAGAAGCAACATCAAGGGCAAGTTAAAGATTAATAAGAGATCAATCAGAAACTGACCAAGAGCGTCGACAACGCTTATACTTAAACAATCAGCTTGAAACGATAAGAAGGCATAAACGTTGTGAAGAAGAAACTGAAGATCATTCTCTCGTTCTCCCTTCTCGCGATAAGACGTATTCGATGCTATTGTAAGTACTTTGTTGTGCTTTTCTTCTTTTTTTTGTACTTTTTCGCAAGTCTCGAAGACTAAAATATTCGGAGTCTTTGCATAAATGTCTTCTACCCCACAACAATCTCAACCAACCCAACAACCAGCACTAATGAACACCGGTCAAGCTTATATACCCACGTCTCATACAACAAACGATCAATACACGCTTGCTCAAAATGGAAGTTACTCGAACGATCAAGTGTTAGTACAATATTGGTATAGTAATAATGCTCAACCCATTGAACAAACACGTCAAATGGCTGCGAATCAGTTTGTTGCACCACTTTGTGGTCAGCAGTTTTTTTTATCATCAACAGCAACCGTTACAACAACAATATGTTGCTTCAAATCAAGGAATGCAACAATGTATGCAACCATTAATGGGACAACCAGTCACGTACCAACAACAAGCACCAATGCTTTCTCATTACATAGCATCAAATAGCGCTCTCCCTCCTTCAACGTTGATGAATCAGCCGATGGTGACGTCGACTCCAGGACCAACTATTGTGAGTGATCAGATGGCGCAAGTCTCTAAGAGACAAATTGATGATGTAAGCAGATCCTGCGACACAAGTGTCAATCAACAATATGCCGGTCAACAACTTCCTCAACGTCAGGCAACTCGATACTATACACCAAAGAAATTGAAGACAGTAACAACAAACGGGAGAAACTTTAATGATGTAGCATACAGATCGCAGAGTACTCGTCAAAGTCTGCCAGACATTATTGGGCAACCTTTCAACTATATTCAGACAAACGGACAAACAGTCGAAATATCATCGACCGCATACCGATTCGCATCAACAAGATATCCTTTCTCTCCGTTTCGAATCTCATTTAAAACAGTCGTAAAAGACAAACTGGTTGCCGAGGAACTAGTCAAATATGCTAAAGAGCAGAATGTTGAACTGAAGATTGCTGTTTATCGTCATAAGCAAATAGAAAAGGATTATTGCATTCTGGTTTTCGTTGACAATATTGATTCCTTTTGTTTTTTAACTAATGATTCAAACTGGCCTACTCATTTATGTCATGAAACATTCGTAGTAAAAAAGCCTGCAACACCGCCACAACTATGTGTTATTCTTCCGAATGTTTCTTTGAATACGGATTGGGAAGAGTTCGTTGTCGATATGAAGGGAAAATATCCGGAAATGGTCGATGTAATCCGACTCAAGAACCGTTTTCAGCAGCCCGTTCGTACCATAAAGGTAGAATTCTCTTGTGCTAAAGGTCGAAATAATCTGCTACAACGAAAAGAAATATCGATCGATTATATGAAATATCGGGTTGTGGAATATCTCACTCCAGCGCAAGTATTGATTTGTGGAAACTGCTGTGAAATCGGTCATTTTCAAAAAAATTGTCCGCATCGAGATAAAACCACCTGTAAAATTTGTGGAGAAAGCTGTACTGATATTAAAAACCATGAATGCTCTGGCGTACCAAAATGCACTAGATGTGGTGAAGATCATAAATCCACGGATGCAAAAGTGTTCGATAGTGAAGAGTTATTGGGCTGCACTAACTCGAAATCTTCTTCAACAACCTATGACATACTCAAAGGGTTTTGACAACGTAAATCCATCTCAAGCTGATTTCCCGCTTGCGTTTGCGAAGCATAGACAACCGTTTGCTGCTGCTACAACTGTTCAAGCAACTGAAGTAAACCTAGATGCCCTCCTCTCGAAAAAAACTAGATTCGTTCTTAGAAGAAATCAAGATGGAATCAAATAAAACACGTGAAGCTATTGACGAATTGCGAGACGAACTGCGCAAACATGTTGAAGTTTCGAAGAAGAAAATCGAAGCTGTCGAAAAGAAAGTTCAACAATTAGAAGTAGAATTTCAAGATTATGCATCTATGATTAATCGTACTATGGAAACCGTCTGTTTGATTATTGCTCATAATGTGAAGGTAGCCGGAGGTGACAAAGAATATCTCATATCAGAAGCTCAAAAATTTCAAACTCGTTCTACTTGGTTGAGACTCAACAAATGAATTCAACTTCCAATCCGGTTACTTTTACACCAGTTCGTAAAACTATAGACTATAATTTTCTATTATCGGCAAAAAGTACTCTTTCACCAAAAGATTTTGATCTACTGTCAGATATAGTGGAAGAGTGGCATGAGTCACAGACTTTAACATCATGTCTATCTAAGTGGTCTTCATTCAACAACCAGAACCACTATGCATCGCCTTCATTATTATATACACTTTGCTTCAATATGTGTGGTTTAGACGCTAGATGGAAATGAAGTTTATCTACTCTCTACTAAGCATCAATTTGATATTCTCGTTTTTGGTGAAGTTGGAAAAGTGGATTACTCGCTACTTTGTGCGATTTACCCGTCCTATCGTTCTTTTTATCAAGCGGGAGAAAATCCGCATGGAGGTGTTATCATCCTAATTCGTCAAACGATCCATACCTCGCGCATTCCGTGTTCGTTACCAAATGTATGTATTATAGAACTACAGCTCGAGGTACCTAGTCGTCTAATTGGCATATACGCTCCAGCTAGTAAATCTTGATCGTGGACTGATCTCTCCTATTTTATTTCAGCTTCGTGTGTTATCATGGACGATTTTAATATCGACTTGGAAAAAGACGGCGATAGGGTCGACTATCTGCTTAATTGGGCAGACAGTTATGGGCTTGCACTCTTTGCACCTGATACACACACATCTCTTCGCTCAGAACGGACAATCGACTATGCACTCGTTTCTGGAATCAAGATTTCAGTTCAGGCATATGAAGGTCCTACAACAAGTGACCACAAACCATTACTGTGTGTTCTAACCTGTGAACGTCGTGAAACAGGCATGACTTCGAGAACGTCGTGGAATACCTTCTCGCTTGTTATGTCATACACGTATGCGTTCTGGGAACATGAATGAATGAATAGTCATTATGACATAACTTACGGAGCATTTGTTGATTTTCTAGGGGCACTAGCGGCTCGTTGTACGAAGATTTTCTCGCTTAAAATGGCGCGAGTGGCCATACCTACCAATCTTAAGATTCTTCTAGCACGTAGTCGATCATTGGCTTTTAAAGCGAAACGAAAGGGAAGTATCTTGTTTCGAGAAAAAGCCCAACGTCTTCGTAATACTGCACGTTCGGAACTTAAACGTTTTCAACAAGAACAACTCGTCAAGAGTTTAACCGATCGTCATAAATCTGGAGCAGATTCAGTACTATTTTGGAATCGTACCAAAAGGCTTTTTCGTGCAGCAGCATCTGCTCTTCGTGGACTGTTATCGCCGAACGGAGAATCCACCAAGGATTTCCAAAGCATGGCTAATCTTACAGCTGATTATTATGAGTAACTTTTTGAAGAACCAGTAGTAGTAAGACCTCATCCTTACATAGATATTGCACCACCCGTTTTTGACAATTATTCGGATCCCATCCCATTGGTAACTTATCCTGAAATTCTTAAGGTGTGGATTGGTAGAGAAAAGAAGCGATCGCGCGACAGTCATGGATTGTCACCATATTTACTTGGCAATATTCCGAAAAACTATTGGCATTTTTTCGTTCGCTTGTACAATCACTCGTTTTCAACATGCTTTCTACCAAAACGATCAAAGAACATCAGAATGATCCTACTTGCAAAAAAAGATGCTGTTTGTACTCCAGACCAAACTCGACCAATCTCGTTACTAGATTCATTCCTCAAGGTTCAGGAGTGCCTATTTCTCAACAGGTTCTTGCAAGTGCTCAAAGGTCGAGGAATTCTACCTGATAACCAGTCAGGTTTCTGAGCTGGACATCGTCTACAAACACGAGTTTTACTCTTAATAGAACAAATATCATCGTACATGTCTAATAGTTCACCAATTGCTACTGTGTTCGTCGATTTCAAGAATGCATTCGATCAACTGTGGTTAGATGGGTGTCTGGGGAAATTAACTCGGATGGGTATCCCAGTGGACTTTGTCAAATGGATTCTTGTCTGGCTGGAAGACAGGCGAGCTACGATAGAGATTCAGGGCAAACGTTCTCGGTGGTTTTCAATTCATCGGGGTGGGCCAGAAGGATCTAGCTTTACACCAACACTCTTCATTACTTACCATGCTGATATGGAGGCCTTTATTCCGATGGCCATGTCATTTTTCTTTGCTGACGATCTAGCAGATGTTATCCCCGGTCAGATTGGTATTAGATATACTGATCAATGCATCGATCTAGAGCGATGACTTCATTCTTTTTTCGATCAATTGGAATATTACTCAGCTTTAGCTGTACAACCAATTAATTATTCAAAAACTCAAGTGATGTGGTCGGCACGTGCAGTGGGCTTTCCAAATCCTATGCCTGTGCTCAAATGTGGTGGTCATGCAATTGAATGGGCGAAATCATACAAGTACCTTGGCTACTGGATAACGACAAAACTAGGCTGGGATCAAGTTATTAAGCGTACTCAAATCAAAATTCGTCAACAAACTGCTATGATAAAGTCTATTAGAATTTGTGGCTCAACATCTGCCGCTCTACGTCGAGTTCTTTTTTCAACATTCGTACTACTGCTCTTTACATGGCTCCATGCGATATATCCTTTGTTTACGGATCTGCAACGAACAAGTCTTAACCACTTCTATTATACATCACTTAAACGAGTATTTCACTGTCTATACTGGAATGATTTAATTTTTGCATTTTCTTATAATGAACGTTCCCTTGATGATGTGTTATGTATACTGGACTAAATACCTGAAGAGACTTTCGAAGTCTTTGGACGGTTATATGCTGTTAGAGCAATCCTGTCTGAATACGAATCGCTCGGAGTGGCAAGAAGGAAGAAGATCGATTCGTGCCCTCCGCTGTTCCAAACGATTTGTTCCACATGCGGATGTACTTGGTTGTGTTTTGAAGTGGCTATCAAATCATGGTTCATCAGACTCAATAGTGATTATAGATGTGGAAGATATGAGATGCTATGCGGAATTCCTAGAAACATTCTAGTGTAATCATTATCTTCTCTCCTTATTTTTCACTTGTAATTGTCTACTGGAGAATCATCTTTTATCATAATATGTCAGTCTTCATCTGTTATTCTACGCTTATTTTGCTTTGCTCAGATGCCATTGCTGATGTCACTCTTCTTTTCTTTTGTTTTCGTATATTTCCTTATACTACTATAATGTATGCATGTCTTTAAATGGCTGTCCCTTTAGGACCTTTTGGTCAGAGAGTAAATAAAAGGCTAATAATCAGAAGAAACTGAAGATGAAGAAACCAGTCGAAAACTACGAAAAAAAAAATGCTGACCAACTGTAAGATAAACATTTATATTTTATATAGAATATTTATACAATAAGAAATAGATGTAATATGCAACCTATAATATCTTCGGAAGAGATATGGCCAAAAGTTGCAACAATAGAGATCAAACATTATTGTCTTAGTATGTTCAAAGAAGCTATGTGTGAACGTGCAGTCAATCAAACTGTATGTGCCATTTGTGCATGCTTACATTACAAATCAGAAAGTTTTGAAATAAACATCGCAAAAATTCCGAATAATTATCTATTATATCCAATTGACGACATGCCATCATGTGTTATTCGTTTGAAAGTGAATATTGACCCTACTAGGGAAAGTATTTAAATGCCAGGTTAGTTTTTTAAACATTTATTTTATAAAACATTTAATTATAAAATTTAAACTTTGATGAAAAAGAACAAATTCGAGAAGATATTATAAATGCGAAGGATAGTAGTGTGATTATTAACGGAATGCTACTTTGTCGGAAGGGTCTCGACTTAGAAACAGGATATGCACAAGTTTGCAATAAATGCTACAATGATTTAGTCAAAAATAAGCTTCCTACATTGTCACGAAGTAATCTGATGTGGATTGGTGATGTTTCTCAAGATTTGCAAGAACTTACTCTACCAGAACAAAAATTAATTGCATTAGTAAATGATTTTTAATTTCGAAATGTATAATTTTAGTCTATTTTTATAACTAGTATCGACATTCGAGTTGTGTTATTAAATTATTCAGTATTACAGGCGATCCATCTTTGGCACAAACAACACTTAAAGGCAATGTAATAACATTTCCTCAAAATATATCAGATATTGCAAGATGTCTGCCGTTGTCACCAAATATATTACCAAATATTATTAAAATTATCTTTGTGGACCAAACACTTCCAAGCAAGGATCATGTACGTTCAATTCTTAGTATCCGTCGAGAAATTATTCGAACAGCACTTATTTGGTTATATAAAAATAATATTTTGTATAAAGATATTAATATTGATCATTTACTAATTGATACATTACCAATAAATGATGTACCGGATTGCTTATGGAATACTATGTCTTTGTTAGATGAATCACAATCTTGCAATGTTGAACGATCTTCTTATGTACCAAATAATGTAGATCCAAATGAACTTTTTTTAAAAGATGTGATTCCTTTAAATACAAGTGCTTTGATCGATACGAGCGGTATAACAATATCCTCGAGTGATATACGATAACATTTGCAAGAACGAACAAACCTTACTGATGAAACAATAGTCGGTAATGAAAACATCTATGTTGTACCACACGGTTCAGATCCAGTGAATGAATATTTTAATACATCATTTTTACCAGGTATGCAAATGATTGAATCATTAATAGTGCTATATTTAGATCATATTGATTATAAAGGTTTATATCCAACTTTGTTTTCATACGGTGTTGGTGGTGTTGAAAATGAACGAAGACAAGTGCGTGTGCCATATTCAAAACATATTCGTTACTTGCTGTCATATCATGATCATCGTTTTGAAATGAATAAGACATTTATATTTGTGACTTTTAACATTTTACAACGACGAACAGCATGTGTCAAATCACGTATACTTTTATCAAGACCTTACTTTAGCTCACAAACTAATGAAATAAATTAACTGACCGCTGCAGAAGTTAAAACAGCTTTAAATCAAATTTAATCTAATTTGCACAGTCATATAATAAATCCTCGTTTATCTACTTTATTAAAACAACTAAAAACAGTGTCTGGTAGTGTAATGGGATCAAATAAATCACGTGCTAATTATCGTGTCGAATTGCATTCGCAAATATTCTTCTCAAGTCTTCCAAATATTTTCATTACTATTAATCCTTGTGACCTACATCATCCACTAGCTATGAAATTCGCCGGTGTAGATCTTAATATTGACAATCTTATAGTTGATCTAATGCCAAAATCACAACAGCGTGCAGCAATTGTTGCAAGTCATCCTATAGGGATTGTACGTTTTTTTAATAAACTCATTACAACAGTTTTATCGACGTTAATAAACTATAATATCAATAAACATAAGTCAAATCCTGGTGGTGGTGTTTTGGGAGAAATCGAAGCCTATCATGATAAAGTTGAAGAATCTGGTCGTGGTGCATTACATTTACATATGTTACTGTGGCTTGTCAATAACAAGCATCCACATGAATTGCGAAATCTAATAGTGAACGAAGTAAGTGAAAATTTTTCATATAGGATTTCCTTGTTAGATATGCAAAGCTACCTGATTTCAATACTTACATACATAAATTTTCTGCTATATGTAAAAAAGCTTTTAACGTACCTACATATTTTACCTTTTTTTTATACTAAACATATTCTGTTGAATGATTATAATTTATGATTATCACTTCCTGATCATTTAGAGTTTCCGACAAAATTTAATTGAATACCTAGAAGATATTATTAAAGAAGATCTACATGATTTCCAAAATGATAATGCACAATCGTCAGTATCCGACATCGAAAAGCATAATCGCACGTTGGTTTCTATATATTCTCCGATACCATCTTCGGATGATCCTAATTTCGATCAACAAAAACGAATAGCTGTATATACTTTAGCGTCCGAAAATTAAATTCATCATCATACTAGTACTTGTTACAAATATGCTAAAGGGCCGACATCAAACAATCCTTCATGCCGTTTACGATATCCTAAAAAATTACATGATCCAACAACTATTAATGTTGAAAATGGTGAAATTCAAATGAAACATGCTCATTCCATGATGAATAACTTTAATGAATGGCTTTTGCTTGCATGTAGGTAAGAATCTCTAACTTAGAAAACCTATTTTTTGCGTTAACAAGAAACTTATTTATTATTTATTCAGATGCTATATGGATATTAAATTTATTTGGTCAGCATCGGATACAAAAGCTCTTGTTTATTATATTAGTGATTATATTACTAAAAAAAACTTATCATTTCATGATTCCAATTCACTTATTTATCAAGTAGTTCAAAAATTCGAAAAAAATGAACAAAAAATAAACTATATAGATGCATTAGATAAATCACGTCGTCTTATACTACGTTGTTTTAATACGCTGGCATCTCAACAAGAAATCTCGTCTGTTCAAGTAGCATCATATCTTATGGGATGACCCGATCACTACACGTCACACACATTTGTGAATATTTATTTGATAGGCATTGAACGCTATTTAGAACAATGTCTTGCAAAGGTTAATCAAATAAAAATCTACATCGAAGTTCTTTTTTAAATATACATATATATTAATTTGTTAACTAACAAAATTCTGAATCATAGCTAAAAGAAAAAGAACAAACAAATTGTATAAGTAATGAATCTTATGAAACTGATGATTTACCATTAAATATCTTTGAACCATTTAATGAAACTGATGAACAAGATGATGATCAAAATGAAGCATTCGAGCTAGAACCTGCCCTAGTGAAACATCTTGTAAGTAAGATCTTGGCCAAGATACAAGGTACAGAAATGTGAGTAGATCTTGAAAATTTGGGTACAAGATAGTGCAATTATCTTGTACCAAGATCTGTGTTTGGATCTTGATTACAGATGCGTAAGATCTTGGTAACAGATACTCAAAATCTTTTCTCTATTATATTGCCTTTTATGATCTTATGCACTGATCTTTGGTACAGATAATTATATTTTGGCAACTGAGAATCAAGATTTTCAAGGTTTTTAACCATATCTTGCTGGCTAATCTTTATTTGATATTGCAAAATATCTACATGAACGTTTAATAAAAGTTTATTTACATGAAAAAACGACATGATCAATAACTAATGTCCATTTCAGAGATAAGTGGCCGTGGGCATTTTTCGAATAACTTCATAATAACAAAAGATAAAGAGCTGATATTTTAGCACTAGCTAGAGTCGAGGTTACTCTATCTTTTCATAAGATCGATGAAAAATTTTAGTCATTTTTCCTTTTGCATACAGCATGAGTTTTGAAAATGAGCATAATCAGTCATAAAAATTAAATGCTTTTCCAACTATAAGAAAATGGACAGATAGCCCAACTTCGCCGCCATCGATCCACGCAAGGCTGAGATCGATAGCTGTTTCTGTTCCAAAAATACAAAGATTTTACTGAAGGCTAGCGACCAGTTTTTTTCAAAAATTGAGGGAATAAGAAATATTTTCTTCTATAATATTTAGTAGTTTTTGATTTCATGACATGATTTATTAACCTTTAGAGTCTTTTTTTTTTACTTAGAGTAACATTAAAACAAACTCAAAGTATAGTTTTTGATGATAATGAACCAATATCTTTAGTTAGTTTTATTGGCAACCTTTACTGTGCTGGTATGCATTCAACAAGATGCACTTAACGTGATTCTATTGCACAAGCGTTGCAGTTCATCAAGCTAGCAAAGCAAATATTGTTTGTGTTTCTTCAAAATCATTGTTGAATTGATTTGCAACTGTCCTAATATGTGGGTGTTGACTATTGTTTTGTTTTGAAACAGTACTAAAAGATCTATAAATAGCCTATGCAGACAATGAAAAAGTTAGATAAAGTTACAAGGGAACTGTGAAGAAACACATCTGTAGATGATCGCAATGGGTTGCAATGATAGCGACGGGTCATCATTTTACATTGATATATAATGCTTTCTTTTTTGTATTCAATTTATTGTGGCATTACGGGTTCACAGAAAAACCAATTAAAAAAAAGAAAGATGATTGATAACACCGCTTGAAATACAGAGTACAATTTTATAAGAAAGGATATGAAGTAAGAAAAGAAAGAAAAATAAATAAATAAAAGAAAGGAAAAGAAAAGATTCGTTCCACTGTTCAAGAAGACAAGTCTTAAATCTGGCGACATCGTTCGAAAAAAATAGATAGAAGAAGGAGAGAGAGAAGTAGGAATAGACAATTGAAATGATGAAAATGTATTTGAATATGTTCTCCCCCTTTTTTTTTCTTTTATTTGCGTGCGTATATAAATTTACTAATCATTTCGTTCAATGTTGGTTCATTTTTTTGATATATAATGCTGTGATTTGTAATTTTTCTACTTCAGATTGAAAACAATAATGCCGACAGGCTAACATTACAGTCAAGAAACAAAAGGCTTGATGTTCAGTGTAATTAAATTTATTGAAAGAGAAAAAAATGGAGCAACCATACCATTATATAATGCTAATGATCACATAATGGCTGCACTTCAGATATCGCATGGTTCTGTGGTTAATTTGAAAAATGAATTAAAACAGTTAGAGGAAGAAGAACAAAAGGTTCTTGCACAACAGTTACTTGAACAACAACAACACAACGACGACCGTATGTACTTGCGCAAAAATATAAAAATGAGCGCTTGCGTCGACGATAATCGTCACCTTACACGATACCAACAACTGATCAGTCCAGAAGTACGAATACGCCTCGTCCAGCTGCTAAATCACCAGCAAAACGTGGTGGTCCTACCAGTTTCAGCAGTGTCACATATCCTGCAATTTGGAGAAGTGCTCACATCTCTGCCGGGAGATGCTGCATTTTCAGCAGGAGATGCAGCATCCAATGTGGGGGATGCGCATCTCTCAATGAGATGTCGCATCTCCTGTGGGAGAAGTGAGCACTTCTCCAAAATCTTGGATATGTGACACCACTCACCAGTTTTAAAGTTTCTCTAAATGAATATGAAGAAGATTTAATAAGGCCAGTTTCGCTGAATTATCTCTTTCATTTCAATAGTTGATCTCGATTATTTAGGTACTATTTTCATCTTCTATTAGCCGAAAAGGTATACCCAAATACAAGCAAATTGCTTACTCGTATTCTCACCGACAATCCAAACTTTCCGGTGAAAAGTGTTACGTCACTTTGGAGAGTGATGAAGAAAATTGGGTTCTCATACAGAAGAACAAGTCAAATACGTGTGCCAATGAATTCTACAGATTTCATCGCACAAAGAGCATCATATTTTCGAAATTTAAATGAAATACGTCAGAATGGAACATGGATATTCTATCAGTAATTTTCAATTGTTCTTTTTCACCACTAAAAGTATTCTATACCGTTTAGTGATGAAACATGGATTAACAGTGAGGAGGAGAAACGGGCCGTTCGGGTTGATGAGCATGGTCAAGGGAGAATACGCACAACTCAAGGAAACGGTATACTTCCTTTTGAATTGGTATGGCACGAAAATCGACACAAACATGTAATTTAGGACCTCATCTTGCAATAAGTGCGTTAATCAACGAGAACGGTTTCCATCATTCATCAATCGATATAGTCAAATGCGACCAAGAACACTCAATGAATTCCATGCATTTCATATATTGGATCGGTCGAACATGCTCCAAGCTACGAAAAGAACTTGGTAGGAGTTTTGATTATTTAATTTTTCGTAATGCTTTTTATAAAGGGAATGCATGTTCAATAACTATTATTATCGACAATGCCTCTTGGCATCGTGAAGTAACAGATGATACAAAACCACCTCAATGTTTATGGGGAAAACAAATGATAGTTAACTGGCTTGATGATCATAATATATTATATGTTGATGATATTTCGAAAGCCGAATTGCTACAGCTAGCCTATGAAAATTTACCAAAAAAGAAATATAAAGTGGACGAAGAAGCAAAAATTATCGAATTAATATCTTACGGTAAAGGCAATCTATTTATATCTATCTCGTGCTAATATTTTTTTAAAGTTTACCAATGAGGCATTGCACCTTAAATCCAATAGAGTTGGCTTGGGCCAATATGAAAACATGCATACGTGATAGAAACACAAAGTTTACCTCGGCTGAAGTGAACAAAGTGGCACAAGAGTGGATAGATAATTTAGATGAGACGGAAGCAGCCAACTATGTTAATCACGTTAAGCAATGTGTGGCGACATTCAAAAAGGCCGATATGTTTGCCGAAAAAATTGAAGAAGAATTAAATGATGATGACGACGAACATGAATATAGCGTCTATAGTGCAGACACAGATAATGATGATGATGAATGATCTGTATGATGATTTTGAGTAAACATCTTGATATTCTTTTTAAATTGATGGATTTGTATTCAAGACATTTTTTCAATGAAAACAAAAAAATTTCATCAATAAAACTAACTAAAGATATTGGTTCATTATCATCAAAAACTATACTTTGAGTTTGTTTTAATGTTACTCTAAGTAAAAAACAATACTCTGAAGGTTAATAAATCATGTCATGAAATCA